ATAAAATGTTTCCGTATAAAACTAATTGGTAAAGAAAGTGATTCACTAAAATAAATTATTTGACAAATGTCGAAAAGAAAATAATCACAAATAAAAGAACGATATACGAAATAGGATCATTTTTTACGGGAAATTAAATACTATTCACTTTCTGACGAAAGGGAACTAATATCCGAAAGAAGTTGATCGTCGTTGTCGCATCGCTTTGGTACTATATGTTGTTGCAAAACCGACCGATAACATCATTTGTTGCAAAACCGACAGATAACAACATATTTTGCAAAACCGACCAATAACATTATGAGTGTTCCTAGAAATTTTCTAGATAGAAGTAATTGCCGAATAAAAAAACTATTCTTCGCCGCCGCTTTACTCGGGTATACCGCTAGTTGACATAAAATCCCAAATTTTATATAAAAATATTCGGTTATGTCCCAAGTCGATTTTTTGGTGCATTAAATCCCTAATATACCGGAAAACCGCTTATAGCAGGCAACCCAGCTTATGAGGGAAGACTGGGCGCATTCATTCTGAGTCGGAGCTATTTTGTATGGAAAAATGTAAGGCATGGAGATAATTGAAGGTGACGGGTTCGAACCCGGATCTCCTCCCCCACAAGGTACATCGTATAACCACTAACCTAGGAAGGATATGTTGAAAACATTCCTAATATTACACTTGATATGTAACATGCAAATTTTAGACTATTATTATTATTATTATTATTATTATATATATATATATATATATATATATATATATTTATTTATTTATTTATTTATTTATGTATAACGAATTTATAAGTATTTATATGTATTCAAAACGTTTTTATACGTTTAAATATATATAAAAATATTATATTTATATATATATATATATATATATATATATATATATATATATATAAACCTATAAAATATCTTTTATACGTATAAATAAAATTTTATATGGCTTTTATATGCATAAAAAAGTTTTTATACGTATAAATAACCTTTTATATGTTTTTATATGTATAAAAAACATTTTTTATACAAATAAAAACTTCTTTTATAAATATAAATAGCATTTACAAAAAAATGTTTTTATTTGTATAAAAGTATTTTTATATATATAAATAACATTTTATACGCTTTTTATACATATAATAATAATGATAATAATAATAATAATAATAACAATAATAATCTAAAAGTTTTTATTTGTATAAAAAATGTTTTTATACATATAAATAACATTTTATACGTTTTTTATAATAATAATAATAATAATAATAATAATAAATAATAATAATAATAATAATAATAATAATAAATCATAGCTGAATTTTAAATATGAAATATAATTCCTTATGAAGGTTGTCATAAAACCTAAATTAGTGTAATGGGAAAGGCAATACTTTTCTATCCTGGATACCCAGGTTCGATTCTTGCTCTTTACTAATTCTTTTCTTATTTCAATCATTGATATATATAATAGCCCTAATATACCGAAAAACCGCTTCGATTTTACCCTTCAGCCGGCTATAGCAGACAACCCAGCTTATGAGAGAAGACTGGGCGCATTCATTCTGAGTCGGAGCTGTTTTGAATGGAAAAATGGAAGGCATGGAGATAACTGAAGGTGACGGGTTTCGAACCTGGATCTCCTCCGCACAAGGTACATCCTATAACCACTAAGCTAGGAAGGATATGTTGATAACATTCCTAATATTATACTTTATATTTAACATGCAAATTTAAGACTATTATTATTATTATTATTAATTTATATATATATATATATATATATATATATATATACGTGTTTAAAATGTATAATTACGTAAATATATATATATATATATATATATATATATATATATATATATATATATATATATATATATATAAAAGTATGAAAAAACATATTTATAAACATAAGCATATGTATCTATTCATTTTAAATGTGTGTATATACATATATTTGTACGTTTATTTTTACGTAATTATACATTTTAAACACGTATGTATATATATATATATATATATATATATATATATATATATATATATATATATATATAAAAGTATGTATGTATGTATGTATAACGAATTTATATGTATTTATATGTATTAAAAACGTTTTTATACGTTTAAATATATATATAAAAATATTATTTATATATATAAAAACCTATAAAAAAATTTATACGTATAAATAACATTTTATATGGTTTTTATATGCATAAAAAAGGTTTTTATACGTATAAAACATATTTTATATGTATAAAAAAAGTTTTTATACGTATAAATAACATTTTATATATATAAAAAACATTTTTTATACAAATAAAAACTTCTTTTATAAATATAAGTAACATTTATAAAAAATGTTTTTATTTGTATAAAAGTGTTTTTATATATATAAATAACATTTTATACATTTTTTATACATATAATAATAATAATAATAATAATAATAATAACTAGAAAAAATTCCCCGGCGTTGCCGGGGTCGGAAGGTATTGCTTTGTAAAGTAAAGTAGCATGGTGGTTGCTTTTTGTCCGTTAATGTGAGAGTAATTTGATCTTTTCAGATAGTAGGGACTGAATTTGTCACCATGGGTAACCATATGGACCATTTATGTAATTTTGACGGTGGTGGTGGTGGTGGTGATGGCAGATGGTGGGTGGTTTTATGGTATTGGGTGGGTATTTTCTAATAAATAAAACATTAATTTAAAACTAAAAAGAGAATGTTAAATCTGGTAAACCACAGGGACCAATCGTGTAATTTTGTCTAACAATAATAATAATAATGATGAGGGACCATTTCTGCCAAAAGACTAAATACTACTAATATGTAATAAAAGGCGAGGGTTATGAAAAATTCAAACCAAAGTGAAAGGTTGTTTGTGAACAAAAGCATAAAGATGAAGGGTCAATGTTGTAAGTTGGAGGACCAAAATTGACAAAAATGTGCCACTTTACTGTTAAAATCTTTCATAACTTTAATATATACTAGAAAAGATTCTCCGGCGTTGCCGGGATCGGAAGGTATTGCTTTGTAAAGTAAAGTAGCATGTTGGTTGCTTTTGTCCGTTAATGTGAGGGTAATTTGGTCTTTTCAGGTAGTAAGGACTGAATTTGTCACCATGGTAACCATATGGACCATTTATGTAATTTTGACGGTAGTGGTAGTGGTGGTGATGGCAGATGGTGGGTGGGTTTATGGTATTGGGTGGGTATTTTCTAATAAATAAAACATTAATTTAAAACCAAAAAGAGAATGTTAAATCTGGTAAACCACAGGGACCAATCGTGTAATTTTGTCTAACAATAATAATAATAATGTTGAGGGACCATTTCTGCCAAAAGATTAAATACTAATGATATGTAATAAAAGGCGAGGGTTATGAAAAATTCAAACCAAAGTGAAAGGGTTGTTTGTGAACAAAAACATAAAGATGAAGGGTCAATGTTGTAAGTTGGAGGACCAAAATTGACAAAAAAAAGTGTCACTTTACTGTTAAAATCTTTCATAACTTTAATATATATATAATAATAATCTAAAAAGTTTTTATTTGTATAAAAAGTGTTTTTATACATATAAATAACATTTTATATGTTTTTTATAATAATAATAATAATAATAATAATAATAAATCATAGCAGAATTTTTTATATGAAATATAATTCCTTATGAAGGTTATCATAAAACCTAAATTAGCCTAATGGGAAAGGCAATGCTTTTCTATCGTGGATACTTAGGTTCAATTCTTGCTCTTTACTAATTATTTTCTTATTTTAATCCTTGATATATATAATAGCTCAGCATTAACATCCCAAATTGTGTCCAGCTTAGTGGTTGAAGTCGTGTATGCGAAAACAAGTGGCCCAGGTTCGAAACCCTTAGTTGCCATTTTTCTTAGCCCTATAATTTTCTAAAAGCACATCAGCCCCAACTAAGCATACTTCGTCCCAATCAGCTAGACTATCGGCCATAGAAGGTAAAATCATGGGCATGGGCAAAACTGAATAAAGTTACCGGTATTTGAGACATTAATGAACAAAAAAATCTGATTTTGGGCATAACCGAACATTTTGTGTAAAATTGAGGGTTTTATGGCAATAACCCATTTAAGATCTAATGAACAAAAAATCTGATTTTGGGCATAACCGAACATTTTGTGTAAAATTGAGGGATTTTATGGCAATAACCCATTTAAGATCTAAAGAACTGTAACCGGTCGGTTTACACTCTTAGAGCATCCACAATGGTGAGTTTAATAGAAGAGTTGAATGAGGTAGCATGTCTATGTGTCATTCAATAGATGAAACTCTATCATTGTGAAATGCTACTTTGGCATTCAATGGATTTGGAGTTCAATAGCCATTAAACTCTTCAATGGGAAAAAAGAAAGTTTTAATTCTTAAATATTTACTATAAATTACATTTCGTAACATTCTATTGAACTTCGTAGAGTTCAATGCATTGTAAGAAAAAAATGATAGAGTTGTATGGATTGTTGAAAAATAATGTAGCAATCCGTTGAACTCTATGAAGTTCAATACATTGTGGATGCCCTTATAATCAATGATTCAATACCATACAATTATGACGAATACGTAGGCTCACCCCTAGGCAGGTCATAATTTTTTCGAAGAGGGGGCAAAAAATAATTTAATTTCCTTTATGGGGGAAAAAATTTAAAGAGTAAAAATATGTTATTTTGAGAGGGCAAAATATATTTTTTTTAAATATACCTATTTATTATTATTATTTTTTTGTTGTGGGGGCAAGTGTCACCACTGCCCCTATTGTAGGTCCGCCTATGCCCCTAGTAACATGCAAGTTAAAAGTTATATGATTTGAGTTAGAATATAACATTGATTGATCTAAAGTGTAACTATTGGGATACCGAATAGATTTGATTATATTTATAGGTTTAAAAAGAATGAAAATAAAGCGATGTTACATGTCTGCCTTGCTAACAAATGGAAGAGAAAAATAAATACTAATTAAAGCCCAAGATTAGCTTTTACACCATACTGAGGTAACCAAGCTCCTGCCATCATGAATGTGCCAGCTGTAAAACCCAATGCTTCCTTTTGGTTTTTGATTGGTTGAAACCCCTTCCACTTTACCCTACCTGCCATGTTGGAACCTGGTCCCCTGTTGCCAAACTCCCTAAACATACATGACATGTGGTTGTTCTTCCCCTCAGGTGATTCCCATACCGTCCAACCTTCTGGTTTGATTAGATCTCCTATGTCACATTGCATTATCACAGACGTTGCCGATGGTTTCCATGGTCGTCCTAGGTACGAGGCATATTGTCCCTTTACTGGAGCCAACTCCGCAGCTGGCATGATCTTGCAATTGTGAAGCACCACACCACCCGCTTCTTCAAATTTGGTCCTTCCATCAGCTGTTACCATGCTTGCCTGATTTTTGTCTGGTTTTCGAACGAAGATTTCCGAGTCTTGGATATAAGCCCGTCCAAACCCAAAGATGAAGTCCACAGTTCCGGATATGGCACAATTCTTGTAGAACTGGTCATGGGCGTGGTAATACAAGGTGTCCTGGTAACCCTCGAAGCTGCAATCGACCATAACAGTGTGAGGGGACTGAGATCGAAATGCAACCGCTTGGTGTCCTGCTGGTCCGATTGTGTTTCTAAAGCATATAGCCCTAGCCATGAACCTTTCTCCTAAGGCAACTACGGTTGCAGTTTGGGAGGTTGAAATTTTTTGAATTCCAAAGTTTAGGGTTCCAGTGATGATGGTTTTGGTGCGACCATCTCCGTACATGTAGACGTTATTGTGTGTCTTTCCTACGATGATTTGACCTTCGTTGTACACACCGGCCTTAACATAGATTATATATCTTCCTTGATGATTTGGAGGATAAGCAGCTAGAGCTTGTTTGATGCTTTTAAATTTCCCGCTTCCATCTTGAGCGACAATTGCGTTAGGCGTGACAGTCGGAGGAAGAGGAGGTGGCGGGGGAGTTTTGAAGATCGCTTGGCCTTTTGGTTTGAGCTTACCACCTCCACCCTTCTTGGATCCGAGAAGCTTACGATCGGTGGTAGAGACCCACGATGGAAAGCCATAATGCTCGATCTCATGGAGTTCATCAAGAAGCCTACGTGATCCGGTGGGAGGGAGCTGCAAGTCACCCAATTCACCCAAGTCAACTCCGATATCCTTAAGGATATCAAGAACATTGTACACAATCTTTTGTGCATTATAAGTAAGCTCATTGGACGTTTCCAGACCTTCTTGCATGTCCTTTTTGAGTTTTTCATCCCTGATCTCTTCAACACATGTCGTCTGGTATGCACGAACGGCCGTCAACCAAACAAGGATTGGATCGATCTGTTGGGCCAGAGAGACTGCTTCAGTCTCAGAGACAACCTTAAGAACCTGTTGAAGCTCATCTTTGGCATATCCTAACATTTTCTCACATGTCTCCAGGTCACGATGGGAGGGGGAATCCTTTTTATCGTCATCATCCAAATCATCCTTGGCAGTGGAGGCTTTTTTAAGGGCCTTTTGTAATTCATCCGCGGTTGCACGAATGGTTGCAATGATGTAGTCCTCGTGGGTGGCGGAGGAGTTCTTGGCCACCTCGACCGCTACTTTCTTGCAAGCCTCTTTATACTCGGTTGGTTTGCAAACGCTGTCGGCTGCCTTGTTGCTAGTCGAAAGATCTTTATCGGATTTGCCTCCGCTGGTTTTGATGACGGCAACCACGCCTAGGACGGCAGCGACAACCAAGACCAAGGATACGATGGAGATGACGATCTTATTAGCCATAATTATATAATCTGATACCTAGCTATATATATTAAGAAAGAAAAATTAGCTATTGCGTTTCATCTCCCATACCTGTGATTTTCCTTCTCTCCTTAATATTATCGATTAAGGAAAGAAATGAGATATAGAAGGAAACTTAAATATTTGGAGGGATGTTTTGGGGTGGGATGGTATATATATAAACAACCAATTGACGGTAATCCTATAATTTAGATTTGGATGCATGGCTTGTTTTTTTTTTTTTCTTGGTGTCGTTGATTTGGTTCCATAAATTCACCACCCAATGTTTTAGCAGTTATTAACCACAAGATAATAGTTGAAAAAACGCTTCTTTCGACACCTATTTGCCTTTATATCAGCACCTACACTCTTCTTCCTTTGTCTTTATCTGTTCCAGACACCATCAGAGCCTACTCTCGCCTTAATTTGTTTTTCTAGCTGGAAGCGAAGCCTCTCACCACCACCATCAACCTGTACACCGCCGCTTACAGCGACTACCATCGTATAAGCCGCAGCTCATCAGCACCACCCCCTTCATCCTATACGCCGCCTCTCACCACCAACATCACCCATTCACCCTATACACCGCCGATCATTAGCTCTCACCACAACCATCACCCTCTCCAGAAAATAACCGGGTTCTATTACTATTACTAGAAGAGTAAGACCCATTTTTAAACAATCTGGCTTTTTAACTTCTTTTAGCAAATATAAATGTGGCTTAATTAATGATTGAGCTTAAATATACAAACACCACTCAAGAGTCGGAATGTACAGAGTAGCAAATTAAAACCAAGACTGAATTATTATATCCACACCAAAACAATTGAAGATTCCTCACTCGATAGTCTTGTAACTTGGCACATGTAACATTGAGCATATATATAGAATGTATGCAACTTGTAACATCACACTTTGAAATTAACCATTGACTTATAAGTTTTATTTTCAAGGCCAAACACTTTATTACAGAAAATAGGGCAGAAGTAGCAGATAAGTTTTTTTTAACGGCTAAGACTTTAATAGCGGGAAGATGGAAACAAAGCATACAAAGCAAACAACCAGCTACAAGAAAAACAAAAGAAACTAAAGATCCAAGCAACAGAGAACAAGAATGTCAAAGCAGCTCCAGAAATCACCCCACAGATGCAAAGACAAAGCCAGGGGTAAAAATGTCAAAAGGTAGTAAACAGCTCAGCAAACAACCTTCTGCCAACAGGATCCATAACAAGAACACCAAGCTAAATCACGAGAGCACTCCCAAAAGAACTAGTCCAAACACGATTGCACCCACGGTCTCATAGCAAAAAATAAATCTATGAAGACTAGAAACAAAGATCCATTTAAGATACAACCAAAAACTGAAATCATACATTAATTGAGAAATGTCGATGTGAGAAAAAATTAATTTTGTTTTAAAGAATAAAACACTACACAGATAAACAACTGTTTCATCCCATACACTAGTTGAATATTTGGTCACAGGGCCGGTTTTTAGGATTATTGTTAAAACTAGTAAACAAATGGATAATTACAAGTACATTGCTCACTAACGTAAAATGTTAAAAACTAAAACGTAACAGACTTGTTTGTGTGTTAGAGTCTTGTTCAGAAATGGCATAACAAGAAGATTTGCATGTACTACAATCAAAAGTCTCTTGGTCAGGTTCCCTTAGCACCAGGGCGGAGCTTCAACATTTGATTTTGGGGGGGCCGGAAATATAATATGTATAAAAATCGGTGAACAGGGTGGGCCATAGCCAAAATTTTATATTTTTGGGTCTAATATGTATAAAATTAAAATAGAGGGGCTATTTCTAACAAAAAAATCAGGAGGGGCCACAGCCCCCCCTTCCCTTGCCCCTATAAAGCTCTGCCCTTGCTTAGCACAAATTAACCATAATGGTTGTGGCTAATAACGGTTAACGATAATGATAAAAAAAAATGAATTAAAATAAAGTACATTGCTATTAAAATTGAAAATAATAAAGTATTTACTATAAAAAAAATACCTTTTATTGACATAAAGAAGGTTGCTAATTACAATAAGATTTGAATGTAGTACAATCAATAGTCTCTTGGTCAGGACTGTTAGCAACAAGTTGGAGATTGAGAATTATCTGATTTAATGGAATAAAAGTAAAAATAAACATTTATACCTGCAACAATCTGCTACCACAACCATAGGCATCCCCACCTAAACTTCCTTGCAGTCTAACCTCTAAGTAATCCGATATATTGGAATTTTTGCTGATCCAGTATTTTTTTAATAAATCCAAACTCATAATCTCATATAGAACAAAATACACAGAAATGTATGAGAGAGGTACAAAAGGAGAATAAAAAACAAACATGAATGAGAGAGGTACAAAAGGAGAATAAAAAACAAACATAAAAAATCAGACTTAAAGTAAGGGAAACATAAATCATGCGTGTTGAATGAGAAACAGAGATATGATGTACAAAGGATAAATCTCTTAGATTGCAGAGGGTGTAATGGTTTTCTTTTCTCTCCTCTCTTTTTATGTTTTCTATAATCTCGATCTCTCCTCTGTGCATTTATCTCTCCCTACAACAGCTCTTCTCGATTTCTTCCCCTTTATCGATCTCTCACCTTTCTCTCTTTTTTCTTTCTCTTACAATCCCTTTTTCTCTCCTTTGTGGGTATTACCAGTCGAATGGGTGTTTGTTTATAAAAGAAAACAAATTGCAGTTGATTCTATAGAGAAGGAGTGGAAAAGGTATAATACCAAGTCAATCTTAGGGGTTGTTTGTTTTTTTGTGAAGATCTGCGCAACCACTTTTGTCTGCACCGCGCAGACATATGTTCTCGCAGAATGTTTGTTTTTTGGAAGTGCGCAGATCAAAAAACGTCTGCGCGAGGTCTTCTTGGCGCAGACATTGGCCACTGTCTTCAAAGGTCTTCAGACCTCATTTTAACCTAAACCAAAAAAAAAAAACATGGGCCATCGTGCAGTTTTTTTTTTCTTTCTTTTTTTTGCTGAAAATGCATTTTTAATGTTTATGACATGAAATTAAGTTTGAAAAATCAATTTATTTCAACAGCTGCAGACGTTTAAAACAAACAGTCTTCTTATTGCAGACTGCAGACATTTGGTCCACCTCTTTTGCCGCAGAGGCTTACAGATGTGGTCTGCAGCCTGCACACATTTTGGCTTCAAAAAAACAAACAACACCTTAGATTAGAAGCTGGAATATGATCGAGTTTTTGGCGGGGAAAAGGATGTGATCCCGACTTTAAAAAAAAAAAACCCTTTAAATCTATAATCTATAAATACTAATATTTACAAAAAAAAAAACATGTTTTTTCAATATATATATATATATATATATATATATATATATATATATATATATATATATATATATATATATATATGTATATATATAGGGAAGGGTTATTTGGAAAACAAAAAAAATCCTAAAAAAACCCTAAAAATCATAAAAATGCATAAAAAAATACTTAGAGATCACAAAACTGTTTTTTTAATTTTTTTATAGAAAAAGCGCAGCTTTTAGTATAAAATCGCTAAAAAAATCAATTTTTTTTATTAAAAAAAATTGGTTTTTTTTCAAAAAAAAATTCAGCGATTTTATACTAAAAGCTGCGATTTTTTCATAAAAAAAGTTTTGTGATCTCTAAATATTTTTTTTAGGCATTTTTTTGATTTTTAGGGTTTTTTGTTTTCCATACAACCTAAACCTATATATATATATATATATATATATATATATATATATATATATATATTGATATTGTGTTCTTTTTTAACAATTTAATCACCAAGTTTTTTTAAATTTTACAATGGTGACATTGCATTATCTAATATGTTTCAATGTTAATCATTTAACAGGGTTTATTGGTTGTTTTTAGGTAACCTTATGTCAAGTCCGACTCCATCTTTTAAACCCGGGGAAATGACACAAATGTTCTACGAACTTTCTAAATTATTTTCGTGACTTTACGAGGGAATGAACTCGTTTTTATCGGGTCGATTACATCATTTTTTAAGTTTTAAAGGGGTAGGTCGGTCACATTTTGGCCACCTCATTTCTTTATGCCACATAATTATACCCTACGATGCACAGCCCCAAAAGTGAGACCTTTTGTCAAGGGTTTCCTACTGTAGTACCGTTAATGTCAAATGCACAAACTCTCACAACTTATTGTCGTCACTTTCCCTTCCCTATTTTTCAAATAGATACATGCAATATCAAAACCCACACTGATGTTGTGTTGTTCTACGATATTATACTGGTTAAGCTGAACCCTAAAAATACTTAAGATGAACTGAAATAAAAACAACATATGAATGAAATTGTAACATCCCAAAAATCAAGGTAGATTTTCATTTTTAAAATCCAGCCAAAACCATTATTGTTCACAAAACATAGTTCCCAAAAGTAATAATCACGAATCACAATATCCCAAAATCAAATATCATAAAATCAGAAGGATGTGCACGATCACGTCTTTGCTTTTCCCTGATCATCTGAAGTACCTGAAACATAAAACTTCAATTGTAAGCCAAAGTTTAGTGAGTTCCCCCAAAGTACCACACACAACCAATACAGATAACAACATGCATATATGAGCCTTCAGCCTGACTGGACCGCCTCGCAGGGCCTACAGCCTATCTGAACTGCTCTCCCGTCCTTCGGCCTGACTGGACCGCCTCGCAGGCCTTCAGTCTATTCGGACAACCCCGAATATCTTGGCCTTCAGCACAAAGTAGGACCGCCTCAACCCAACAACCATAACATGTCGACATATACAATAACAATCAATAACCAACAACACAAGTAATCATACAGATCTACCAATCTAACGCATACTCAATGAACACAGGTAATCATGCAGATCTACCAATCTAACACATACTCAACATAACATCAATCCAATATACCATGATAGAAAATCCAGTGGGCCGCCCTTGGTGCCTTCAACCCACAAGTACAGTGAGGAAAACTCACCTCAC